ACGAACCATCTCTAAAGAATAAGCGGGCATAGATAGCATTCCAATGTGTAGCTTACTGCAAGGAAGAATATGTAGTTAGATTGCTTCGAAGTACCGATAAGTAACCAGTTTGATATATTTAATAGCCCGATGGAGAAAATTAATTTAAAAAATCACGATATCTAACACATATATAGCTTGCGAATTTAAATAAAGCATGCCTTGCCCCCTTAAGGTTCTAACATGGAAACTGAACAAAGTAAATTATGATCCCTAAAAGTTAAATTTTGACACTCAGAGAACCATTTCTCTGCCGTGATAGCAAGTACATACCAAGACAGATACGCAAACAGGAGATTATTTCTATTTTTAATAATAAGAGCCCAAAAACGTTAAACATAAATTATAAATCTGCGATTTTGATGGATAAGTTACGATAAAAATAAAAGTCAGTGAAATCCAATAGCAACAAAGTAAATGATCCCGTTACTATATTAATGCTTTTGGAGCTTCTGGAAGCACCAAAGTACAATGGTTGAAATATAAGTGAGGCGGGTTCAATAACCACACAAAACAAAGCTCAATCAAAAACGTACCTTCCATATCAAGACGTCGCCTAGCAAAGGTACTTGTCACCAGAAGCGCATTACTTAATGCCCGATGCATCAATTCATTGGTTGATGGAGTAGGAATTCGGAAAACAGGCTCAGGGCCATCGAGAGAAATCCTCGATATATCTGATGTGCGAGAAAGTGGTGTATGAGGCGTGGAAATCGAATTAGATTGCTTGGCAGGTCTGCGCTGTATCCAATCAGGAGTAGGCATAAAGCTACCGAGGTCATCAAGATTCAATGCCGCATTGACTGGAGTACGAGGAACATTTTCGGCCCGATGAAGTAGTGTTGGCAGCGACTGCTCGACGAATGGCGTAGGGGGTAAATTACTTGACTTTAATTCGCCTAAGCGCTTGTCAACAGGCCTCGGTGATGTCGGCTTAGCAAGAGGTCGATGCGATGAAAATGAAGAGTCTATTGTAGCTTTTTTAGGTAATCTCTCGGCGGTAGTACTTTTCAAAACAGATTTGTCCGGCATCTGAACGGTAGCAATCATTGAAGAAGTGGTGAAGTTCAGAGTCATATCATCCGTGGGTGTATCAGAGAGTGGGTAAAGTGATTCATCAACCTTCCTTCCCTCCCGGGCACAAGCGTAAAGCCAGGCACGAGTAACAATGGGCAGGCCCCAGTGCTTGGCCGCGGGGAATTTCCGGTTGTCGGGCCTAGCAGAAACCAAGTGAGTGCTGGCTTCTAAATTACGTGCAGGAACATGATTTCGGAGGAAACATTCCTGGACTATCGCCCCAAGTGCTTGAGCATATTGAGTAAGAAGAGACCTGTCAAGGCCAACAAAACCACTAAGAGAGATAACACAACCGGAGAGAGGCAGGCGACCATCACGAGGTTTTTGCACTGGCGAGTAAGCAGGCTCATTCTTCAAATCAGCTAGGCAGAGTGAGCTTTTAGCTATGCAACGAGTAATCCAGGCATGAGTAACAAGATGTGGAACACTAGAGTACTGATCCAGATCTTCAAGCAGAAATGGGGTCACTAAAAAATCACAGTTTTTGTGGGAATCGATAACTAATCCCCCAGCGGAAGAAATGGAATCAGATATTTCTTTTTTCATTTCAAGTGAGTACGAGCAATGGAGATAAAATCTGAAGCTTTTAAAGGGTCCTGTTAAAATATTTTCAGAAATTGAATGCGGATTAGAGCCCACATCATCCCCTTTGATTAAATCACCCTTATTTTCCTTGTTAGCGATAGTATCATTTTCTAAGCGACTTATCCTGTCAAAAGCATCATTAGGCCCAAAGTCATCCAGTGTTGCGAGCCCACCATCGGCAAAGTACTGAGTAATGAGTTTTAAGTCATCCGCGTTAACAGAGGGCAAATTTTCAGTTTGGCCATCAGAAGCTTTATTTATTTTATCATCGGAATCTCTGGAGTCAACACAACTTTCAGGTAGGTCAAGAGGATATTCGGACTCCGGCATGCGCTTATTGAGTGAAATAGAATCTGTCAGCCATGCCGAAGTGACATAGTTAACACCAGCTTCCCTGTCTGGAAGTTTAAGGATCAGAGAGGCATTTCCAACGACTACATGTGTAAGATTCTCCGTCAGTTGATCGTGTAACTCCGTGCAAACCTTTCCATCAAGAGATTGGATTGATTTTATATACTTTGAAGTCTCGTCTCTAGTGCAATTGTAAAGGAGAATAATACAATCAGAAAGAAATCCGGACTCCTTTGATTTGGAAGGGCGACAAATACGTGATTCGCCAACTTTTGTGTTTTCAGAGAGATTGGAGATGGCAGATAGATCTGGAAGACGGCCCTCAATTGTAGAGATATCAGGAGCATTAGGAGTAGATGATCTCTGCTCCTGATTAGAAGACGTCTCATCAACACGATAAGTGTCTTCATCCAGAGCATATCCTTTATCAACGGAGTCAACCAGCCAGCGAATATTCACGATTTGTATTTTCCACTTCTTAGCAAATACATACTTAGTACCAA